TTTACTCTGAGTAACTATGTCATCTTTTGTGCAAAATATATGACATTTATATTCAAAATATTCCTGGTCTTACAAGGAATCCAGCAATGTCAATTATATTATCCTAACTTTAGTTTGAGGTATTATTTATTACTATACCTTAAAATTTAGTGTTTCACCCAATCATTTCTCGGACAGGTAGTGTCAAGTGAGCTGGGAAGAGGGGGGGGGGGGATTTGAGTCCATTATTTGAATGGACATTATCCTGGCGACTGTATTTATCTTAAATATTAATTGTGTGAGCATACCATCATAAAATTTAGATGTTATTTTTACTACAACATAGGTATTGTGACGGAAAAAGTAGAGCTTGGGGGTCGGGCCAGTGTCTATTGGAATTAATCCCATATGTTCTGTTGTTCACTTTATGCGGTTTTCACTTTCCGCGGTACCCTGTGGGTCCAATTGACCGCGTAAATCGGGGTACTACTGTACTGTACAGTACAAGCTCATCAAGAAATTACCACTTGCTGTTGATAAATACTGTATTTTACAGCAAATATGACGCACTTTTTTGTTTGAAAAACTGCTAAAAACATCAGCCTTCATCCTATACTGTAAATAAAGTTGCAGTCTCCTGTTTGCTTATGAATCACCCCAGTTGCTGTCTCCAGTAGGCCAAATTCTACCTAACCCAAACCAGAATTAAAAATATGCTATTGCTTACTTAAATACATTATTATTTTTTTCAATTAATTAAAAAAAATATTGTAAATATTAAATCTTGATTTATAACTCTGTACTAATCATGATAACCATTTCTGAACTCTTACAAGCATTACAATCTATTACTGCCACACCTGCATCATTTATTTTTCAATCTACAAATACCTGATACAAATGAAGATTTACGCATAACTTTCTTTTCACATTTGCATCTGTTAACATCGCTGGTGGCACTGTAGCCAGGTTAGAATCGTCACTATAACCACCAGGCTACTGGGGAAGCTGTGAGGTGTTATGGTAGTTTTTCAACTAGTATTTTCGGGTAGATATACGTAATTTTCTTCATTCATTTTTACTCAAGTTACACACACACACATCATCCTGCATACATTTTGTGAAAACGTACAAGAAATAATTGTCCTAGGGACAAACGCATAAATTTGCTGGCTGCGTGGGGGAGAGTGAAGAGGGTGCAGCATGTGGGAGGAGATTATTGCTAAGGAATCGGCAGAAGTAGCGTCCCTGCTGGTCTCCGTAGCTAAGGTGAACCAGGGAGTACTTGCAAATCGCGACTGTGTTAATCTTTCATTTGTTATTTATTTACTGGTTTGGTAATACAGTATACAGTAGAAGTCCAAAAATCCGGACTGCTTGGGGATTGGGTCGGTCCGGATTTTCGGATTTTCAGGATTCTCAGGCAGTACTTTTAAAATTCAAATTTAATGAAGAATAAAGAAGAAAGGAACAGGTACATTTTGATAGTTTATTTATCTGCAAATATAGCATGCTTCATTTATCAAAACGAGCAGGTGTGATTCTAAATTATATTCTTTGCCTTTTATATATCATAAATTGTAGACTTTCCAATGTCGTATGTTTCCATTAGAACAGTATTGCTCACACCACGTTCTAGTTTTTTAATTATTTCAAGTTTGTCACTCAATTTCAATGTGTTCTTCTTTCTCTTCACACAACGAAGTTTATCTACTTTAGGAGCCATTATTATGGGCTTGTACAGTACTCTGTAAATGGAAAGAGTAGGACTCAAAATATTGTTATATTACAATGGTATTCTATTCATACTGTGCTTGATATAATGCATTCACGGAAATGTAATATTTTTGCTGAACGTACGTATTACAGTGAAAAGTGGGATAAAATCGTGATGAAAACAATGACTTTCGCTTTCTTTCGTTCAAAAGATGTTACCGTAATCGCTTTTCGAATGGTTTAGTTAAAAAACTGTTGTACTGTATTACAATAATATTCTATCCTAAATGACTTGAATAAATACTACAATGCTATATTTCTGAATATTTTCATTAAAATCCATCAAAATCATTTTCTTTGTCATCGTCTGCAGCACCAAACTGCTTCTCCCAGTCTCTCCTTGAACAGGGCTAGAGGGTACGTGTTTTTCGAATCGTTTTCAGTTAAAAAACTATTACATCACACGTATATTTCACCTAAACTGCGCCTGAATGAATATATTCTCGGAAATAAATAGTAGTTTTGCTGAAACGTGATGTATTTCAATGTAAAATAGGATAAAATACATGACGAAAACAAAAGACTTTACCTAAGCTTCCGATGTTCTTGAGATGTAACTCATTTTTTTAATAATTTTCGGTTAAAATTCTGATATATTACAATGATATTCTATTTATACTGTGCTTGATATAATACATTCACGGAAATGTAATAGTTTTCCTGAAATTACATACGTATTACAGTGGAAAGTGGGATAAAATCATGACGAAAACAATGACTTTCGCTTTCTTTCGTTCAAAAGATGTTACCGTAATCGCTTTTCGAATGGTTTAGTTTAAAAACTGTTGTATTACAATAATATTCCCTCCTAATTGACTTGAATGGAAATATACAATATTTTTGTTGAAACTACCCGCGTTTCAGTGTAAAGTGTCGTAATAATAAATGGTAAACAATTTGCCTTCGGCACTCGTGTTTCAGTTTATAGGACGTAGAGCGTTTTTACTGAAGGTTTTGTTGTTCCCTTACCCTCAAAAACGTGGGTCAAACTATAAACGAGGAATATCATAAATTAACGATTTCTTGGTCAAAAAATCAGGGTCGACCGATAAACGAGGGGGGGTTATAGATGAGTATATACGGTATGTTGTCACAGTTTGATTGCTCGTTTTAAAGTGGCGACCACGTGGTCGCTTGTTGTCGCTGTGCAGCTGTGGCGCTCACGCATGCGCACATACACACAAAAGCCCGCTAAAAAAAAAAAAAAAAAATAAAAATAAAAAAAAAAATAAAATAAATAAAATAATAATAATGCGTACTAATATTAATTAGTTTTCCAAAAGTCCGGATTCTCGGGTGGTCCGGATTTCTGGCATCCGGATTTTTGGACTTTTACTGTATTTATTTCTGAGAATATATTCATTCAGGCACAGTTTAGGTAAAATATACATGTGCTGTAACATTTTTTTAATTAAAAACGATTCGAAAAACACGTACCCTCTAGCCCTGTTCAAGGAGAAGACTGGGAGGAGCTGTTTGGTGCTTAAGACGATGACAAGGAAAATTATTTTGATGGATTTCAATTAAAATTTTCAGAAAGACCCTGGCACTGTCAAGGAAAGTGGCTGCTGAAGGCTTCCAGGACATGGCAGAGGACGAGATTTGGGAGCTAATTGAAGAGCACGACACTGAGCTGACCGAGGAGAATCTACAGGAGTTAGTAGACTCAGGCAAGGAAGAGGAAGAGGAAGAGGATGAGGAAGAGGAAGAGCACCAAGAAATAATGTTGGAGAAGTTGGGGGAGATGACCAGGAATATTGAGGCACTGAAAAACCTGGCCTATAGTATGGACCCCTCCATGGTGCGTGCCCTGAAATTCATGCGAGGGTTGGATGACGTTTTCGCTCCATACAAAAACATCATGGAAGAAATGAATGAAAGAAACGACAACTCCCCATCACCATGTTCTTTGATCACCGAAGGAGAGATTTAACACCATCAATCACTGGCGGCAGTGAGGAAGCAGCTGAATCAATCGTCGCCCCTGCTTCACCACCAGTTTTGTAATTGAGTGACGATGAGCCCGATGACACCCGTCCTGTCGCCGAGGATAGGAACTGTACAGTAAAGTGAAATTTTTATCTCTTTTTTTTTTTAATAGCTTTTCTTGCCATGTTTATTGTTTGTAAAAATGCACAGCACAGTACAGCTCAGTACTGTACATAGGAAGTGGAGGTGCAGTTATTCACAAAACATTTGTGTTTGTTGTCGGCAGTAGTGATGGTGAGGAGGTGGAGGAGGAGGGAGCGAGTTGGGAGGAGTGGTGACCTTGGACGCGGGAGCAGGGACGAGATGCCAGCCAGTACATTACAGGTATATTAATTGTTTTTATAGCTATTTTTGCATTTTAATATTAAATACTGTACATTACGTTTCAACAAAACTACCATTTATTTCTGAGAACATGGAAATGTAATATTTTTGCTGAAATGATGTGCGTATTACAGTGGAAAGTGGGATAAACCTGTGACGAACGCAATGACTTTCTCTTTCTTTCGTTCAAAAGATGTTACCGTAATCGCTTTTCGAATGGTTTTCAGTTGTGGAATTATAAGGCTAATGATAGGATAGAATATTATTGTAATACAGTACGAGTAACTTCTCTTGAACATCGGAAGCTTAGGTAAAGTCTTTTGTTTTCGTCATGTATTTTATCCTATTTTACATTGAAATACATCACGTTTCAGCAAAACTACTATTTATTTCCTAGTATATATTCATTCAGGCACAGTTAAGGTAAAATATACATGTGATGTAACAGTTTTTTAACTGAAAACGATTCGAAAAACACGTGTACCGTCTAGCTGATACACTCAACACCTGGTGGTGCGTCATGCGTCATTGTAAACAATAGGAGGTTGAAGTAGATTACCGGGTATTATATTAAGTGTGAAATATAGAAAAGGTTTTTATTACCGGTATTTTTTGTAGATCATTGAGAACTGTGAAACCGTATATGATAAGATAAGTTAGCCTGTGCTAAGACTTCAACATAGACTACTGAAAGCGCATTGTAAGGTAATTTAGACTTCAACATAGACTACTGAAAGCGCATTGTAAGGTAATTTAGCCTATTGTAAGTTGGTGAGCTTCATTTGCTGAAGGAACTGCACAACTTTTCATTACTAATTGGTACATATTTTACATTACCATTGTTTACTGGCAGTAAATGGTAATTATTTTTCATGTCTGAAGCTAAAAGTTGCTCCTCGCCCTTCCCATCATGCACGGGTTCAACCTAACAAAACTATTACGCATGTATAGGACGACCCCCAATTTTTGGCCCAAAAATTTGGTCTTAAAAGCTCGAACTATACACGAGTATATACGGTACCTAAAGGATACTTTGCCCTGTAAAGGGTTAAACCCCTAGTACGACCCCTGAAAGCGTCGGTGCAAATGTAACGAAAAGTGTAAGTAACCAGATCGGTAGACACCTTAACTGAGGATCTAGGATTTCCTCTTCATCTTCTGGTTCCAGTCTTAAGCAAGATTCATGATGTTCCACAGCACTTGCAACTTTCTTTTTGATCTTTCCAAGGAATGCTGAATTGACTAGCCCCTGATAGAACCGAGAGACCACACTACTGCATTCATATTGCCTGCAAAAAAATCCTGAAGGATAAAGCAAAGATGCAAGAAACCTGATAAGTTACCTTTTTAACATCATCAATAATAACTTTACCGTGCATTTACTGGCAATTCGCATTTAAAGGCGTTCCCGTGCCACTGCGAACGTTTGTTGGCATTGAAGTCCAGCCGGTGCTGGTCTCATGTGACGCCTTAAATTTCTACTTTCTTAGCATCAATTATGGCCTCTTAATGACCTGAAAACCCTACTGGAGTTGCTAGTGACTAAAATAAGAACAATGTGCAGAAGGTTGAAATATTACAGAAACTAGACTGTGGAGCGTCTGCTCGTCAACTTTGTGATCTCTATGGTGTTTGTTCCTCAACAATTTATGATTTAAAGAAGCAGAAAGATAAACTCCTGAAGCACTATGTGGAGAGTGACACAAAGGGAATGGAAAACTGTAAGCACATGAAATCAGGGAATCACAAAAATTTCGAAAAATGCTCGGTGCAATGGTGTCGTCAGATATGCCCTCCCGCCCATACAGGTACAGTGATCCCTCGGTTAACGAGTTACCTTCCATAAGATTCTTAACTTTGGTTAACGAGCAATCCCTCGATTAACGAGTTTTTTACAAGCCGACCTCAACATGTTTTCGCTTGCATTTGGCGGTCCACCAGCTGTAGTATTAGTCCGCCAATACAGTAATCAGTTTTAGGGCTTAAATTCCTTACTATTTTAGTAAATATCAATAAGTTTATACTATTCAATAATTTTAAAAGTTTAATATTAATATTTTTTAGTCATTTTAACAATTATTCAACATAATTGAAGGTAAAGAAACTAGTTTCGGGCACGCCATCCAGCCTGTTAACACACAAACAGACAATAGTCTCTCTCTCTCTTTTCAGTGGAGGTAACATATTGCTTGAGACTCTCTTCAACTAAATGCTTTTTATCTGTGTTTCCAAGCAAATTATTGGTCATTTTGAAATTTATTTGACATATTGACAATATATAATGCAAAGCAGTATTGATTTAAAGAAAATAATCTTGAATTACACCAAGAGAACTAAAATTTTATGGGTGAAATGGTGCCATGGGGTGACTTCTCTTCCACCCCAATGCCTTCTCTTCTCCCTTCTCCTCCATCCCCATTCTAATTCCCATCATCACCATCATCATCCAGGAGCCTTCTACATACACACCTCAAAGTAAGTGTGCTTTTTTACATTTTTTGTTGAATTTAGGCAATTTTCTGTGAGCTGGAACCAATTACCCAAAAACTCATTGAAACAAATGGTTTCGGTTAACGAGTTTTTCGGTTAACGAGCAACATGCTGGAACGGATTGTGCTCGTTAACCGAGGGACCACTGTACTTCGATTTAACGGAACAGTCCAGGTCCCGTCAATGCCAGTAAACTGAGGTTCAACCTGTATATCTTGTATATCTTACCAGTTTGGCAAATATATTCTTCTGTAACACTTGAAGCAATTTTTACTTCACATTTCTTGACCACTTTCTACATACTATGACCATTAACCTACACATTATTATAGGATCAGGCTTGTCTACACCCTCACTTCTCATTGTTTTTGATCACAGTAAGTTCATATCAAGTTGTCTTTTAAAAAACAGATCTCTAACACTTCTCTCTCTTCTTTAGACCATAGCATCATGTGTACTTTTGGATATCTTTGTGTTGGAAGTAAGTATACTGTTGCTTACATAATACTATATAGTATCTCTTTTGGACCAACTAATATCTTCTTTATCTGTCTGGAAGACTTACATCTATTATATGAAGGGAAGCTTTCACTCTCATAGCCAGTTTTTATATCTAACTACTTGATATTTTGTTAAACATTTACTGTATGTCACAATTTCTTATCATATAATCTACAGTGCATTTCAACAGAGGACTTTTCATTGCATTACAATGATCCTAACAAGACTCACAACAAAATATCAAACTTAAGGTGGGATTCTTGATTTACAGATGTATAATAGTGAGGACTAACCCAGGTTGTGGAGGAACATGAGCTAGGTGTAGTGTGAAGTACATCTTTAATGTGACTGGGAGGGCAGGATGGTCAGCTGGAAAGTCCACTACTTGCTGACCCCAACGGTAAATGCTCAGCAGACTGGAGGAGATTGGCCCAAGGCCTAGATCATCGCTTACTTTCTGGAAATAGCATAAAGGCCATATCTAATTAATGTCCTTTCTATCTACAGTACTGTATGTACAGTACATGTAAAGCTTAGTTGGGTATGCAGACTCATTGACACACACACATATCAGTTGCTAAACATCCCCACAATATATATAAGTTTTAAGGCAGTGCCCTCACTGCAAGTGGCCTTGAGCAAAATTCATTTGTCACCAAGCATCTGTGTCAGGCAGTTCTGTACCTTGATAAGTCAGTGCTACCCTATCTCATGCAATAATAGTATATACTGTATAAGCTAGAGTTCAAAATCAATCTCTTTTTCTTGGTAATTTCATCATCATTCCTGTTTATTACCCTTTAATTAAAATGACACCTAAATATAATGCATGTTAAGTAGGTGGCCATTAGGTAAATCATGTAAATAATTATAATTATTGTACTTATGATTCTTTGGCTTCATTAATTATTATTGCTTCTACACTTATTTGATTTATTAATACAGTATTCTTATTCAATTTCATGTATTTTATCACAAGAAAATGTATAGCTTCTTGGAATACAATGGTCCCTCGGTTAATGAATGGTTCGATTCACGAAATTTCGGTTAACGAGTTAGCTCCCATAAGGATTTTCAGTTCGATTAACGAAATCTTTACGACAAACACGTTTCGTTGTGCACATCAGCTGATCGGCTAGTCCGCCAATACAGTAATTGGTTCTATGTTTACATTAGTTTCCAGTGAAGTAAATATCAAGAAAATTGGTCTCCTGAATATTTCTGCATTTTTTATATTAAAATTATTGGTCATTCTGAAATTTGGTTAACATACAGTATTGATAATATATACAGTACAGGAAACAGTTTTTGTGCACCCATCAGCTGATTGAATCACCCAATAACACTTCTCAGTTTAACTTTGTTTACAGTGGAGTGAACATCGATTTTGTTGGTCTCTTGAATATTTTTTGCATTTTTACATTAAAGTTATTGGTCATTTTGAAATTTAGTTAACATATTGATAATATACGGAGCAAAAATTATAATGAAACATGAAGAACGCATTAGAACCAATGCACTCTGTAAGGAATATGGCACGTCATCATCAACTGCCTCTACATTCAGCTGTTTGATATGTACAGTATAGTCTCGGTTTACGCGGTCAATTAAACCCGTAGAGGTCCATGTAAAACGAGAAACGCGAAAACGAAATAACAGAACATATGGGATTAATTGAAATAGAAACTGTGCCGACCCCCAGACTATGCCTTTTCCGACACAATACGTACGTTAAAGTAAAAATAACATCTTAATTTTATGATGGTATGCACACACAATTAATATTTAAGAGAAATATCAATAATATTAGGTTTTTTAACACTTACATTAGTAGAAGAGATGGCTGGGCACACGGGGATGGGGGTTGGTTCCGAGGCAGAGGACAGATTATTGGTCCTCACCTGTATCACTTGTATCACTATCCACCACAGAGGCTTGCAGGGCCTCTTTGTCAAACCCCTCAAAGTCCATATCCTCACTATCACTGACCTGGTCTGGCTGTGGTGGGTGGCGGGTGAAGAACTCGGTAATGTTTTGTTGATTGGGCGACCTAGTGCACACCCTGCCCACACCGCTTCCCGCGTAAATGATGGAATGTACCGCATAACTAATAATTGCCGGTCTGGCCAGGTGCCGCGTAAATGACCAACCGTGTATAGGAAATCCACGTAAATCGAGACTATACTGTATACAAAGCTGCTGGTAATACGACATACACACCTCAAAGTAAGTTAAAATACAGTATTCTATTGCACATAAGGGCGAGATGAAGGAAGGACTTTGAAAATAGCAATTAAATGCCAGGTAGCGACGTGTCCTCCTCATATTACTTATTAAGTAATTATTAGATGTTTTAATTGCCTGTACAGTACTGTATGTTGGCCTGGCGAATTAGCTAGGAATTAACATACCTAGGTTGCATTTGCTGAAGTCGCATTAGAGCTATATCACAAAAACTGGTTTTTAGAAAAAAACGGCTTTTTTATTTATTATTGTACAGTATACTGTATAGTACAGTACTGTATTTCGTTTATATTTAATATTTTGTTAATTCTATTACCAGTAAACAGTACTTTGAAATAATAGATTTGGTTAACGAAATTATCGGTTAACGAACGACTCTGTGGAACAAGTTGTGTTTGTTAACCGAGGAACCACTGTATATAGTGTCCAAGAACATTTTCTCTTTAATTCTATTCAGTATTCCCATAAGATAATAAATTTGTCAAATGCCATTTTCCAAGAATGTAACTCCCACATCTGACAAGGGTAGACTATACTGTACAGTATTAAAAAGAATTGACTTAAAAGTAGCTTGATTTTATTAAAGTGGTGTAATCACATACTACACTGCTTTTATTAAAAAAATAAAAAATAAATAAAACAAGTGAGTAGAATGAAATATGAAAAGAACAATTAACTCAGAAAAAAGTGAAGGAAGAAAGCAAGAGGCAATACTGAAATGTAGGAAAAAAAGAATTGCCAACACAATAATGGGAAGGAAAGTAAAAAGATTAATAAGGTGTATTACAGTACAGGTTCATCTAAAACCTTCTGAAAAACTTGTATTGTATTACTGAAACACTTTGGTCTGTAACCCTCCAGTCCAGCAAGATAATCTTCAATGACCAGTCTCTGAAAGAAATTCTGAATAGAACACCTACCCATTATCCATAAATTTGAACAACAGATGCTGGATACATCTAGATAATAAATGAATAGTTTCCACTGTAGATATCTCAAACAATTCAAAGATATAAAGTAAATTTACTACCATATCTCCTACAGTGTGTGTGTGTGGCTTTTGGTTTCTGAATTGGGAAAAGATGGTAAGATAGGGTACATTGATAGTTAGCTTCATAATAATTTTAATCTGTTAAAAATATAATCTACTGATAATTTATTTGAGCACTGTACTTCACATTTTCGGCAATTCAACTGCAACCAAAATACCAGACATCTTACCTTAAGAGCTTCTTCAAGTGTAGTTTGTGGCTTAGCAAATAATTCTATTAAGAGGTTCTTCCAGAGCCCTGAGGATAACTCCTGCTGTGTCTCTAGCATGAGGACAGCCACCGTGAACCACGGGAACTGTGGGGCAGAAGGCCGTACCAGCAAGGAGTGAGGGGCTGTAGTTCCTGCTGTTAACCAAGACAGCAAACCAATCACACCTCCCCCACCACTTTGTTGACATTCAGAGCTCTGGAACACATTTCAAATAGTTATTATAACACTGAATACTGAACCTTGAAAATATTCAAAGAAGGCAGTACATTTAATACAGTTCTGTACCATCTATAGATTAGATGTGAAAGTCAGTCTATATCAGCATTGTTCCATCATCCTTTATTTGTCAAAATTATTTTATTTTGTACATCTAATTTCCCTTCTACAAATTTTTTTTACATATAGTACTGGACATTTATTTAATTATTCATCATCTCAAATATTTACATATCCTTTTACAGGGGTCCTCACTATAAGTGGTTAAAAGGGACCAGAAAAAAGCCACTGATTATGAAACCATTTATAAACAGGAGTCAATTCCCCCCAAAATTAATAGGGTCTAATTAGGACCATCACAATGTAAGTGACGCTCCTAAAGTTAAATTAGGTATCTTTTAACAGCCATTTTAAAGTGAATTACAAACAAAAATTTTGCCTGTGTACTGACGTTGGGACTCGAAAATACGTAATTTGACAAAATTTTGGTACGACTGAGGCAGGTCGTAAGTGCGGGTGGTCGTAAGTCGGGGAGGAGCTTAGACATCATGCTGAAAGTCTCTCAGAAGTCTCGGAAAGGAAGTGGTGTGGGGGAGAAAGTCAAAAGAGTGCGGCTGTCAATTGGAAAAAATTTTGAGAAAAAAAAAAAATCCTAGTTTAAGGTAAGCTATGAATAATGTTTCTATGTACATATCATGTGACTGAGGTGTCTCCGTAGGTGTGAGCGTATTAACGGAATTAATCTCGGGTTAGTGAGTTCAATAAATCGAGTGAAAAATAAAGGATTCCGTTAAATCGAGAGTATACTGGACATAAAAGTCGTTTGGGATTGGTCTGTTGATGGGGCGCAAGCAACCTAACCATGGACTCGTGCACTCATTTCAATGAAAGTGGTTCACTGAGAATTGCTCGTCACTTTTCTTAGGACGTGTAACTTCTAATTCCACATCCATCCCATAGCTACTGCGCTTCCTTTTAGCCACTACACCACCTTGCTTTGGTTTGGAACTGATGGCTACAAAAATAGTCCACCAGAGACAACAAAGTTGTTAATTATAGTTCTTGGAGCACTTCAAAATAATGCCTGTGGACACAGGCAGTACTGAGCATGAATAGTGTGGGTGAGAAGGATGACTTTTAAGAGAAGGGGAGACGGGCGGGAATTTCAATCGGTCAATCACTTGTTCCCCCAAAGACTGACGGATTTCAGCCTTAGAATCCTCTTAACTGTAGGGACTTTATACGTGTAGGTCCACAATTATTTGACCACTTATAACGAGAACCCCATATATGACAGGAAACACTCTATGGGGCAACTATTAAAATACAACGAAGGAGTAAGAATATTTTTTTTAAGTACAGCTCCTCCCCAACTTACGACGGGGTTAGGGACCCAAATCCAGGTCGTAAGTCGAAAATGCTTAAATAATACATAGAAAATCTAAAATGGGCTTCTCTTTTTCTTCTCAGCACCACAAAACTTTCACTTTTAAGCTTGCCAGCCATTTTAAAGTGAATTACAAACGAAAATTTTGTCTGTGTACTGAAGTTGAGACTCGATAACACGTAATTTGACAAAATTTTGGTACGACTGAGGCAGGTCGTAAGTGCGGGTGGTCGTAAGTCGAGTAGGTCGTAAGTCGGGGAGGAGATTATGAGCTGGATTTTCAAATGATTTCTGCGTGTATTGTACTATTAATGATTACATATACTGTAACAGCTGACATCGCAATTAGTCTTAAGAGAGTACTGTACTGTATATGAATTTCTCTACAAATTGGCAAAGATCCACTAATAGTGTGAGTGAATGATAATCAAGGTTCTAATCAAGAATTATGAGTAAGTCAAAAAAATTTCAAATTTTAGTAAATTAAGGTCAGGAATTTCTGGATAAAATACTGTATATGAAATCTAAAAAATATGGATCACTGCCATCCTGACTACAAATTACTGGTACTGCTCCTTCTTAATCAAAAAGACCTACTTCCATGCAGAAATTAAACAAAATACTGAACAATTAAGAATAAAAAAAAATCAAAGTCATCTTCATTTCCTGCTGGTCTGCTAAGGAAATAATATTGTGACTTAGACGTATCATTTTTATTGACAATACACAGAATTTTGTGAAACCTCTGTATTTGTTGTGATTTTGATTTATGTTCTTGAGGGAAAACTCAAGTACTGTGGACAGTTGGATGGAACTCTTTTATATATCCCAGCAATTTTTTTGGAGTGGGAGAGATTAAAACTTGACTGTCACTATATGTGATAAGATTACAATGAAAAGTGTGAAATTTCCTCTTATAATGAAGTGAGATGCCCTACAACTTCAAAGTTCTGTAATTTACAACATATACATATAGGAGTGATTCGATTTATGAAACAGATACATTCTTGAGAAACCTTTCATAAATTGAAGCCATTGTTTCCATTGACTACCATTATATAAATGGGAGTTAAGTTTCTACGAAAAATAAAATGTCCCCAAATGTAAAAATGTAATTTTTTTTTTGTGGGAAACAATACTTTCCAAGCTTATGTGTATTACATGCTTTACACACAATTTTTATATACTGGTAGATAACCAAACAAAATAAACTAAGATTAATTTTGCTAATTGTGAATTATGTACTTCATATACACTACTGTACAGAAATAACAGCAGTGCATGAGATTGAAAATATGATACTGCTCAATATCAACTTGAATTACCTGGTCTAAATAACAAAGAATAAAGTATAAGACTCAAATATCTGATGGTGGGATTTAAAACACTACTCAGCAGTTCTTGAGTTAGTCTTTTTATGAAGAAGTTGATGCAGGAGGGATGTATGGACCGTTGACACAAAAGTTTACCAAGTCTTTCACTCCAGGAGAATTATTTTTAACTTAAAAAAATAATAAGTTCCAGTGTTGTCTCCTTTACTAAAAGGACTTTATATAAAATAATACTTAAATCTCATGAATTACTTTCATGACTTCGGAGAATCCTCTTATAACTTCTTGCCAGCAAGCCGGGTGTGTGAATGACTGTTGACAAATGGTATCCAGTAAAAAGAGTACAGAGCTGTCATGTACCCACTCTGGGATACCTATAAGAAGCTGCAGCCAAAATCGAACTGCAGATCCACCAGATGAAAGATTGTACCTGAAAATATGATACTTAATTCATTAAAAGGACGGTAATGTACCTTGGTCATGGTGAACATCAAGAGTACAAGGCTAAATTATTTTCCAAACTGACCTCAAAGTAATATGTAATGACAAATTCCTCAAATGCAAATTAATAAATATTGATGCATTGTAAAGAACTCTCCAATAGCTGGATTGGATCTCGAGCCTTCCGGGAAATTCCGCGAAAACTCACCCCGTTCCAGGAATGTAAACATGTTTCTGAAGATGAAATCATGCACATTTTCTGGAATAATCTCTCCATTCCAGGTATGGGAATGAGTTTCTCAGGATGGAATCACACACATTTCCCGGATAAAATACGAGCATGAGAAAAAATTTCTGGGACTTCCGAAAGATTGCATCATGCTCTGATACTTCTGCATGTTTCAGATGCGTGGGTGGCTAACCAGTTGGGTAACTTGGGCTGCAGGCTTGTAGCCTGCGACTGGCTAATGCTGTCATGTGATTGCATGGGATGCCTTTGATAGGCTGATGCTTATCCCAGCTTGGTTCATAGTTCGCTGCCATTGTACAAGGTTGTTCCAACGCTCGCTGTTGTTTTTGCATAAATTTGCATTGTGCAGTATGTACTGTACATTACTCTACCAAGACACAGTCAACCGAGAATACAGTATTAAAGCAGTATTAAGAAATAAACAGTGATTACTGTGTACAGTATACTTTACTGTAATTTATCATTGTTAGTGTAAGCACCGTACATACAGTACCGAGCATAGCAGAGTGGAGAGTGGTTGTGTACTGTTGCCTCATGTGTAGTGTTTGTGTGTACAGTACTGTAATTTGTTGTACATGTACAATGTTGAGAGATACAGAGAAACCCAGGGCACCAAGGAGTTGAGGAGAGGCCTTATGAAAAGACTGCCCTTTCAGGAGAAATTGGACTTTCTCAATAAACTTGAGAAAAATGTGTAGGTGAAAGTGTTGATGCAGGAGGTGGATGGGGGTATGTCAACCATCCACGATGTGAAACATGCCAAGCAAAAGTTCAGGAGGCAAGAACAGAAAGTTATGCTAGGTGCAGGTGAGGAAAGTAGCCTCACCCATATTCATATAAACACCTTAAAATATGACAAAGTAGAGCTGAAATATATAACTGGTACAGTACAAGCAGCATTGAGCCATTGGTGTTCCTATTCACACCATTGAGCTCCATGATGCCACTCAGCAATTTTCTACACTGCTGGATATGCCCAATTTCCATGGGAGCTTTGGGTGACTACAAGTTTTACAGGCAGCATGGGATCAGCAGCAAGTGAGTGGCTGGTAAGAGTGCTAGTGCTTATGTGGCACCAACTCATCCATGACGATGACATCAAGAAGTACGAAATGTATATACAGTGTGGTTGAGACAGATTTCTATTGGAAGTCCCTGCCAAACAACACTGTGGCATTCCGGCAGGAGAGCAGTACCCCTGGACTCAAGGCCAGCGAGCAGCAACTGTCAGTGCTGTTCTGTGCCAATGCTGCTAGCTTCCACAAAATTACACCAATAATGGTGGGAAATACATAGAGGTCAAGAGTGCTGCACAATTCAATGGATAGCCTTCCTGTGTCCTGGTGTGGCAACAAAAAAGCCTGGTTCACCCAGGAAATATTTGAAGGCTGGTTCCACCATGTATTCATTTGAGTACATGCTGTCAGACAATTACATTCCTAGGCGAGAGGTCAAAGCTTTGCTCATCCTTGACAATGTGCCTGCTTACCCTCAGGGCATCATTCTAGCCTGTAAGCTACACTGCAGGTGCATCCTCATAAATGACATTCTGGTGGTGGAACCAGTGCCAAAGAGGGGAGAAAGACACCAGGGGACTAGAGACACTGAAGAACATCAAGGACTACAACATCCGAGATGCAGTGTTCAACCTGAAGGCAGCTTGGGACAAGATCATGGAGATGACACACAGGAATGTGTAGAAGAGGCTCCTGAATGGTGGTGGTTGCGTTGCCGCCGCAGAAGCTATTTTACTGCAGGGGGATGCAGACTTTGAGGGCTTCGAAGTGGGAGAGGCCTACACACTTTTCTATGACAATGGTGACATTGCTGTGACCATGGAGGATGTGAGAGAGTGGCTGCAGGTGGATGCCAACAATCCTGGCTATGGTGCCCTCACCCAGGAGGAAATATACAAAGGTGTCATCAGATCCTACGGAGAAGGACAGGAGGAGGATAAGGACGACAGAGAGGAAAACTAGAGGAAAGTACCACCACCAGTCTCAGAGAGGTGAGGACATACCTAGATGGCCTCCTGAATTTTATGGCCACCACTGACATCCTCTGCCTCCTCCCCTTTTACCAGAACACATGCCTCTTCATCACCTTGTCCATCAACACTACTACATGCCTGGTCATCACCACGACCCAACACTTTGTCGGCGATGGAAGACATTTGTCACTCTTGATTTGCCTCTCTGCTTCATGGAGGGAGAGGAGAGCAACAGTATATGATCAGCTGCCACATAATTGGTACAGGACAAAGTAGGCCATCCTATATCATCATATCAACATTTGGCCTGCCTGCATCACAAAAACAAGACGACGGCATCTGCTGGTGAGTAGAGTATACTATCGTACAATACAGTAGTAGAATACATTATTTTGTTTTATTTACAATATATTGTACGTGTACAGTAGTGTTTGCGTAAATAAATACCCGTGTGGCGTGTGTCTCTCCATGCAAGATGCGTAGTCAAGATTTTCAGAATACTTTCCCCAGCACCCGGAAACATTCCAGGGATGTGCAATAAAATCTGTCCATGCGAGCTGTGTAGTTTAGACTGACATTTTGAGATATAGAAAATTTTCAAGGATTTGTAGCCCTGTGAGAACTTGGCAAATTTTTTTTTCAAGCCTAGCTCTCACAGACTTCGAGTAAGCTATGGGTATAAGACGTACAATGAAACCTCATTAATTCAAATTAATTGCAAATTTCAAAGCATAAAGTCTTACTACATAGTAAAAATATGGCAAATTGACAGATGTAATGAAACAAACAATATTAACCTGTAAAACACAAATACATAAAGATGATTGTGTATTTAAATACAACCTTATCTTTAATTCTAAAGGGCTCCTAAAGGTAGTGGAGAGTCAGATAAGGTAAGTACAGTAGTGTGGGGCAGTTGATTTAATACTATCACAAACTACAGTACTGTATTACTAAATTATTTACACTGCACACTAATTTTGAGTCACTATCTCAAAGATTTACACTTAAACACTTAGAGTTCTTGATCACAAACATCAGATTGTAAAATCTGAGGAGGAGGTTCCGGAGAAAGTGCAGTAACAGCACTGAGATCTGACACACCACTATGTCTAGAACCAAGGTGGAAAGAAGTAGAAGGCCCAGGAATCGACACATAGCTCACCATGTGATATGGATTAAGCAACATCTGGATCATCTGCATACAGATTAACGAGGTTTCACTGTATACCAATCGACAAAAAATAGAAAATAGAAAATGAGACCCGTCTCTAATTTGCACATTTGGCACTTACGCCCCTGTTTAGGAGACCGCATTACCTCATATATACTGTACATTATATATCACAAGCATACCTTGAGTAATTTCTGATGTGATATACAATCATGGCAGCAAGTAAGCTGAGAATCTTGCCTGGGAAATTGGAGGCCACAAGACTCTTTGCCATAGTTATATATGTCTGGTCTGCAGTCAAACACTTTTGTATGGCAAGCATAAACCTGAAGAGACACTGATATTAGTAACATGTCTTCAGAAATATAGATAAATCATTAAGTACTATGGGAATTATGAAAACTAATATAGGGATAAAAAGGATATGGAATATACCAGTGGAGTAAAGGAGTCCTCAAGAAAATGCTATTTGTGGGGTTAGGTGCCACGGACCCCTGTGAATAGTATTAGCAGCCATCATATTGTATGTGAGAGTCACCCATAAACACAACCATAAATGGTATTTCAGTATGTTTTTCTTTAAATACACGTACAGTGGTGAAAGGCATAAATAAAACCATGAAATCATACAATATACTATACAGTAAGCATAAAATAAGAAAAATGAAGAGCAAAGGGAATTAAAATATGTATTTGTGAAGGAGTAGGGCGGGTGGTTGAGCTGAACCCAATGGATATTTCCCACCCCTTTATAAGAACAGTATGCAATTTTACTAAAATTCCCATATTCTTTAGGTTCCTTTGGTGCCAGATTAATGAAATATTATCATAAAATAATAAATTTTGTATATATATTTTTGTAATGGTGTCACCCTGAGGATGATTATAAGAAAGGAAGGAACTGTTTATGTAATACAGAAATAATTTATTTGTATCTCAAAACAAATATTTTTTCTATTTTATTACTTTATTTTTTTAGGGAATGAATCGCAAATAATCAAAATTGCGAACTGTAAAACTGCAAATGGCAAGGGTTTACTGTATACTGTACGTGTATCATAAAATGGATGTGAGACTGGTGAAGGGGGAAGGATCACAACATAAGAGATGGATCACATACAGTACAAGACTTGTAAATATATAAAATTATGTTATTGGTGCAAGTCAAACGTAATTAATAAACATTAAGCAAATTTTGAGATGAACCGTGCAGGAAAATCAAAATGTAGAGATAAAAATTTCATAGACAAATCAACAATGTGAATTAATTCCACCATACATATCTCAAACAAAACATGTGGAGGTTCATACTTTCTCTATTGTATCAGGAACAGGGAGATAAAGCATGTTATTCCTAAGCCTCACACTATGGATTTAAAGGCAGTTTAAAGAAATTTTTTTAGTACAAGAGTAAATAATTATAATTTTAGCAACACAGCACAACCTCGAGAATCCAGAAAGCATAGAACAAAGCCCTTTCTGGATTAATGATTGTTCCAAATGTCAGAGCAGTTATCTAAAATAAGTACAATACAGTTCTTTGGCAGCTCCACCTTCAGGTACAAAATTTGAGGTAAACAGTGAATACATATTTCCTGGATGATCCGTATCCATTTACAGTCGACCCTCGTTAATTCGGACCCCTTTAATCCGGATTTCGGAGAATTCGGACAAAATCTGAACTTTTTTTTTTTTTAAGATTTGTTGGAATATTACCTACGCAGACCTAAAGCTAAAATGCTGGTCCACCCACTGCTGGGATAAAACACCAGCGTCTTTTTGGTCAAATGTAACATCTCCACCACTAGTGGGGAGGATGCAACTTTTAGCTTCAGACATGAAAAATATTTACATTTACTGCCAGTAAACAATGGAAACGTAAAATTTGTACCAATTAGTAATGAAAAGTTGTGCAGTTCCTTCAGCAAATGAAGCTCACCAACTTACAATAGGTTAAATTACCTTACAAAGTGTTTTCAGTAGTCTATGTTGAAGTTCTTAGCACAGGCTAACTTATCATATCATATACGGTA